AGATGTTTGGCCACCGCTGGGTGATGTTGGCGCACCAGATCTGCCCAACAAACAGGCTTGAAAGCACCACAAAGTAGTTAGCAACCGTAATTCTGGGCTTGCCAGGGAAAGCAGTTGAATTTCATCTCTGTATTGGCAGAAGCTGCAGATGGGATTAAATACCATCAGGTGGGGGGGGGGAGGAGAGAGGACATCCAAACAAAGTAACCCCATATTTTTATTCCTCAAGGAAGGCAACAAGAGCATAGAGCCAATAGCAGGCAGTACTCTAGATTAGTGCTACGCCACAGCCTGTCTCCCAGTGTATCAAAAACTTCATTCTCCTGGTTAAAAGGGGCTTCTGTTTTCCTCCCTCTTCCTCCCGGCACGTCTGTATATCTTTAGAATGTTTGCCATTGCTGGGTTTCAAGCTCACCCTATTGCTGTAAGTGTGGGGTGCTTTGTGGGATGTGAAACACAAGAGCAGTCAAGTACAACATTCCTAGAATGAGGGAGGAATGGGGAGGAATGTTTGTCCAGCCAGCAGGTAAACTTCCTGTTTCCTTCTGGGCTGGGACAGACTTCCTCTGCATGTGACTAGAGGTGGGCGTGGCCTCACCTGGGCAGGTAAGGACAAAAGCACAGGGCAGGGCAGCCATCTCTCTCTTTTTGACTACATGCATCAAAGAAGCAACATCTGCTTAGCCAAAGATGCTCTCTTGACCTCCAGCCAAGAGAGGACAAAGGGACTGTCTCCTTATGAGATAGTTTCCAGGTGTATGTTACTTTTCTAAGCTAAGTCTGCCTTCTGGGATCCGATTATGAACAGAATTGAGTAAACTCTTTTTTATACTTTTATAGAAGACTGTCTCGTGTCTTATATTTTATGAGGGAATAAGGGGAAAATACCAGAACAGTTATTATAGAGGTTTTAGCGAGCCTGAGCAAACGCATCCGCTGTAAGTTTAAAAAGGGTCATGTTACTCTGCTAAATTGTGAACTTGTTAACACAAGTTGGAAAGGCTATAATCAAACAATACAGTGGTACCTTGCAAGACGAATGCCTCGCAAGATGGAAAACTCGCAAGACGAAAGGGTTTTCCATTTTTGAGTTGCTTCGCAAGACGATTTTCCCTATGGGCTTGCTTCGCAAGACGGAAACGTCTTGCAAGTTTGTTTCCTTTTTCTTAAAACTGTTAATACAGTTGTGACTTGACTTCGAGGAGCAACTCATAGCACGCGGTGTGCGTCTCCGTAGGAGCAAGAGCACGTGAAGGCGGGTTCTGAGGGAGAGGGAGCTTTGTTTCGGCGAAAAATAGCAAGGCGCACACACTTCCCTCCCCACAACTCCCAGTTAGGGAGGCCAGGCTCCGGGGCTCTTCGAACGGGGCTCCTTCCTTCTCCCCCCCCAGCGCCCCGGCGGTGACAAGAGCGCCTGCCCGGGCCCTCTGGCGCTCGCCCTGCGAGGGGCGCCCCCTACCTGCATCTCCGCGCTTTCCAACCCCGCGACGTCGACGGCTGCGGCAAGTTTGCCTCTCGGTGTGTGTGCGCGCGAGTGTGTGTTCTCCTCGCCCCGCTCGAGTTAGTCCCGGCGCAGCGCAGGCAGCAGGTGAGTCGCCCTTTGGCAGCGCAGAAGGCGCCGAGCCAGGCAAGGTCAGCTTGGGAGCCACCGGGGACGCGCCCCCGCGCTCCTCTCCAACGGGCTGGATGCACCCCTCTCCGCTCGCACGCTTCTGGCTGGCTGGCCGGCTGCAGCAGCAACAGGGGCAATAGGCATCCACTGTTGCCGACGCTTCCTCCCTCCCTCCTGCCCGCGGCGGGCGGCTGGCTGGCTGGCGCTCTTGCTTTCTTTCGGGCTGCTGCTGCAGAAGGGATTTTGCACCAGACAACTTTTAGGCCGGTAGGAGTTTTGACTACCGCGGCGACAGCAGCAGCAGCAGCAGCAGCAGCAGCAGCAAGACGGCGCCGACTGTAGTGCAAAGGGTCGGAGCAAGGCGAGCCGAACCGATCCCGGGGGCTCAGGCAGCAACCTCCGCCCCGCCTCCCCCCACGCCCCGCGCCCGCCTCTCCCTCCCTCCCAAGCACCCCCCTTTTTTGAGGTTTTTGAAGACTTTGGTGATTTTTGAAGCTTTTCCAAAACTTTCCCGACACCGTGCTTCGCAAGACGAAAAGAATCGCAAGACGAAAAAACTCGCGGAACGAATTAATTTCGTCTTGCGAGGCACCACTGTATATCCTCTCCTGCATCCCTGAACATTCCCACATGCTTGTTTCCAGCAAACATTTCTCCAGTCCTTTGCAGCCCCCTGAGCTACATGGTGCAGTTGGAGGCAGCTATCCTTCTGAACACCCGTTTCTGGGAACCTCAGGAGGGGAAAGTGCTCTTGCGCTCAGGTCCTGCTTACTGGTTTCCCAGAGGCATCCATTTGGCAACTGTGAGAACAGGATGCTGGACTAGAATGGGCCACTGAGCTGATCCAGCAGGACTCTCAAAGACGCTCGCAAGCCAAATCTTTTAAAATGTAGTATAAACGACGACAACTGGGAAACACTGGCCTGCAAATGCTCCAGTTGGAGAACAGCCTTTACCAAAGGCGTCATGGATTTTGAAGAAGCACAAACTCGTTAAAAAACCCGAGGCATTTTTGTTGGGGATTGTAGGGAAAGACCTGCCAAAAAAGTTGAAAAACATCTTCATGTATGCAACAACGGTAGCGAGAATTCTGGTAGCACAAAGATGGAAGACTGAAGAAATCCCAACTAAAGAATCATGGCAAGAAAAATTGATGGACTATGCAGAACTGGCAAAATTGACACATAAGCTACGGGACAAGGATAACTGTGACTTTAAGGATGAATGGGAACCTTTCACAAAGTATTTGAAGATGCAACAAAGCGAACTGGACTCCTTGGCAGGTTTTGAATAAACATCCACAATTTTTTTTTTTTACTGATAATAATTAGCTAAACAGTTCGAGGATTTATACAACTCTGTAACATGCAGAAAATAGCATTATTGGAGAAACCAAAGACTGGAACTGAGGGAAGTTGGGGGGTGGGGGGATGGGTTTTGTGGGGGGAGGGGGGAGGAAAAATGGGGGGGGATAAGGATATGTTTTTGGAAAATATGTTTTGTTATAACTTTGAATAATTTTTTTTTTTAAAAAAAAGAAGAAGCACAAACTCAGGACGAAAGGAAGAAATGAGCTCAGAGGAAGGGACCTTTAGCAAATACTCACTGCAATCAACTCCTGCCCGGAAACCTACGTCCCCACTGTGGAAGGACGTGTGGATCCAGAATTGGCCTCCACAGTCACTTACGGATTCACTGTTAAAACCATCTTCTTGGAAGACAATCTTACTCTGCTATGAGTGATTGCCAAAGAGGAAGCAGGGCTTTTTTTACATTTATATCAAGGAAGCAACCAGTTGCAGACCTGCGTTGTTTCAGAAATGGAGCGACACCAGGTCGTTCACAAGAAAACAGGGACATAGGAATTTGTCTTCTACTGAGGAAGACTGCTGGTCCAACCATCTCAGTCTTCCCTACACTGACAGGCAGCTGCTCTTCAGGATTTCAGACAGAGGTTTCTCCCAGCCCTTCCTGGAGTTGCTGGGGTTCAAACCTGTGACCTTGTGCATGTGAAGCAGATAATCCACGCCTGAGCTACAGCCCTGTGCCATTCTCCAGACGACTACATTCATGTTCTCCACCACACCAGGCACCAGGCTCACTGGCAGACCAACTCTGTGTTACAAAGATGTCTGCAAATGTAGACTTGTAAAAGGGTAAAAGAGTATTGGGGAATAATTTATAATGAATTGGAAAAAAAAATGTTTAAAAGAAACCTTTCCGCCCCAAACAGAATCCTTTCTGTTGGAGATAATTCAGATGGAAATTCCCAGGTGTCAAAAAAAGACTATTTATGTATGCCACTACCGCGGCCCGTGTTTTGTTAGCCCAAAAATGGAAAACGAGTGAGGTCCCAACCAAAGAAGAATGGCAACTTAAAGCAATGGGATATACACAGCTTGCAGATTTAACATATAGAATAAGAGAACAAGAAGAACATATGTTTAAAGAAGATTGGAAATGTTTATTGAATATATGGGTGAAAATTGTGTACATTTTAAAACACTGACAGCATTAAGATAAATTCAACAGTGTAGATAAGTTTTGGTGGGTGTAATAATGGAATACTGAATGGTTTAGCTTATGTAAAATATGCAGGGATTTATGGTATGTAAATTGATCCACGGAAAGAGAAGAAGGGAAGTCATTGATTTAAGGTGGTTTAACTGAATATTTTAAAATGTAAAATAGAAAAACTTAATAAAAATTATACCAAAAAAAAAAAAAATGTCTGCAAATGTGACATGAAGGCTGGCAACATCAACCCTTGCAGACGACTGTTGTGCCTGGAGACAGACAGACAGACAGACAGGCTGTGCATCCATAGCAGTGACCAGAGGAAGAACGACTGCTGGGAAGAGTGCAGAGAGAAGTAATGCCATGGTGCACCTGTAGCTGTAAAACCGGACGCCTTCATCTGCCTCAGCTGCAACAAAACATATCTCTCCTGTATGGGTCTCTATAGCCACAGCAGGCGCTGCAACTCTCCAACAGTTTGACTTCATCCCCAAAGGTGCACCCCACTGTCTCCCGAGACAGATGGATGTCAGCAACATCACTTCTTCATTCAGCCCACGGAAGTTGGCTACCCCGTGGCTCCGGCCCCCATGTTGGGAAACTGTAGGTCCGCCTTGCATCACAAACCCTGTAAGCTGCCGGTCTCTGGAAGCAATTTGGCGCTGGGGACATGGCTATTAATTTAAACCTATTACAGAAATCCGAACCAAGCTGCGTATAAATCTTCTGACCATCTCTTTAGGTTTCACTCTCTGTTGTTTACACTTCCTTATTCTTCTTTAAAAAAAAATAAAAAATTAAGTCACAGTTTACTGATTGCCAAAGTCGGGGATATTTTAGGGGGCTGGGACTCTATTCTCTCTTATGGGATATGGATGGCCGAGACTTCTACTGTTCCACGAGTATCGCCTTTCAGAGCTACCGAGAGCGAGAGACAGATGATGTTGGGTTTCAGGTACAGCCATCAAAGGTTGGACGTTCAATCGAGTTTGACATCATCTTCCACCGAAATCAACCTGAAGGCAAAGTGGTTTGGTTTTGATTATCAGCCCTCGGGGCTGCGCCTAACCTATATGGGAGCTGCCGCTGCTACTTTACCTGGATTGCAGAAACCACAGCTGGTAATTATAACGATAAGTGCTTACAGATTTCCTAACAACAAAGATAATTTGTTTTCTCCATGCCTTGTTAGAAGGGGAATTTTGTTCTGGTAACTGGGTGGTTTATGAATCAGGCAATGGCCTTTCACCTCTCGTGTCCCTGACTTGACTGCCGCCCCCGCAAATGCAGTGATTAGACACTGATCTGACAAGAAGGGGTCTTGCGGAGGCTTTGAGGTAGGGGGCTGTTGTGTTCTCAGTTGCCACTATCCAATTTTGCGGGCAAACAGACGTGTAACCAAAGACTGCTGTTGGAACTGCCTCGGGAGCTCCAGAAACTACCTCTTGCCAAGGATGGGCTGAGAGAGAGAGAGGAGAGAGAGAGAGAAACCCTCCATTGCTTCTCCAGGTATTTTTTACTATTGTTGTTGTTATTGACATTTATTTACAAGCTTTATTTTCCAAGGCACTCAAGGTGGTATACGGGGTTCTCCTCCTCTCCATTTCATTTTCACGACAACCCTGTGAGGTAGGTTAGGCCAGTGGCAGACCTACATTTTGTGGACATTGAAGCTTGAACTGTCATGGGGACCCCTTTGCAACTACCAGAAGGGTCTGGGTTACCACTGTTACCTTCTTCAATGGGGTTGTTCAATGACAGATCACCACACCTTGGGAACCTCTGTGCTACCGACTCTCAAACTTTGGGATTGTTGAAATGTACACAGCAAAACAAATTAATCAATTTGGGTCTACTGGACTCAAGAAATGTAAGCAATGGGGGACTAAAACCACTTCTGTGGCCCCTGTGGGATATGGGGCCCTGAAGCTGAAACTTCATTAGTTTCATAGTAGATCTGCCCCTGGGTTAGGCCAAAGGATGGTCACCCAGTGAGCCTCATAGCTGAGTGGGGATTCGAACGCTGCTCTCCCAGGTCATAGTCCAACACTCTAACCATTACGCCATGCTGGCTCTCTGTGTGGTGATGGCAGACTTCTAACAGGCCATGGAACAACACTGAAGAAGAACAAGCGCTCTTTGAGCACTATCAAAATGCGGCAAACCCGTTTCTCTTGCCCAACAGCCAGACAGGTGCTCAGGTGACCTGGCTACCATATCCCTCTAATTTCTATTTGAATTGGGGCCAGTATTTCCCAGTGTGCATCTGGACCTATAAATCACCGCAGCCAGCTCTTCTGTAAATCATGTCCTCTTTTGCCCTCTGCTTCTGGCACTGCAAAAGGGACTCCCCTATTCCTCTAATGCTGTCTGCATAGGGTTGCCTCCGGAGACAGTCTGTTCGACCAGAGATGAGAGCAAGAGGAAAGACATGCCTATATGCTGCAAAGCCAGCGATACCTCTATCATGCTACTCTCTTCAAAACTATTACACATGATCTCCAAAATAACTCCAAGGCAATTGCAGAAAGCGTCCAGTCCTTCCACAGTCAGCAGCCTCAGTTATGAAGATTCGGAGCTGGAATCTGACATGGCAAGCAACTTAGCAAGTATTTCCATCTGCACACACAAGCCATCATGTAGCTTTTGTTTGGGCTATTGCACTCTTCCTTGGGTTGCCGAAAAGTAAAAAAGCAGGACATCCCGAAAGTTGAGCTTTATTTTAGGAAGACCCCCCCCCCCAAATCATTGAGCAGCCCTAACTATTGGACTATTTGGATTATCTTTTCTCCATGGAGCCCAAGGTGGGAAGCACGGTTCTCCCTGCCTCCCTGTTTTAAACTCACAACAACCCTATCAGGGAGGCTAGGCTGAGCCCTGGCCCAAGAGCACCCAGTGAGCTTTGTGGCTGAGTGGAGATTTGAACCTGGTCTCCGCCTGATGCTCTAACCACTACACCACACTGCCTACCCTCCTTGGTCAAAGCTGGGCCGAGAAGCAGAGGACCAGAGGGGAAGCAGTTCTGGCTTGGAAATGGTTATTTTACGAACTCAAGCTGTCTCCGACTCTTTTCTTTTCAACTCCCTGGAGCTCTAGCAGAGAAGCCAGCAAGACTGTCTGCTAAGTGGCTGTTGGTATAGAAGTATAGCCCCCCCCGCCCGCCCGCACAGGCTGGTCCTCCAGAAACAGCAGCTGTCTTTCCGATTGAAGGTGACCCTGCATTCAGACTGCTAGTGGAAGGAAGAAAAGGCTTGTTGGCTATTGATCTCAGACAATTGGAGACTTTCCCTGTCAGCTGCAGCCCCACGTGTGCATTAAGGCAGGAGGGCTTGCCCCTAGATTAGAACAGCTGGTGCTATTTGAAGTTCTCCCCAGTGCCATTGGGAAGGGAGCTTCTCTGCAAGAGCCTTTGGCTGGATCCAGGAGGACTGGAACAAAATATTTACCTACCCAAATACCTGGGTGAGGAGCACAGGAATCTGGAGCTGCCAGGGGTTTCCCCCCCCTCCCCTCAACAGATTCAGTGCCGAGGGCCTTCTGGTGGTTCCCTCGCTGCGAGAAGCCAAGTTACAGGGAACCAGGCAGAGGGCCTTCTCGGTAGTGGCACCCACCCTGTGGAACACCCTCCCATCAGGTGTCAAGGAAATGAACAACTACCTGACTTTTAGGCGCCACTACCAAGAAGGCCCTCTGCCTGGTTCCCTGTAACCTCATTTCTTGCAGGGAGGGAACTGCCAGAAGGCCCTTGGAGCTGGACCTCAGTGTCCGGACTGAACAATGGGGGTGGAGACGCTCCTTCAAGTATCCTGGGCTGAGGCCATTTAGGGCTTTCAAGGTCAACACCAACACTTTGAATTGTGCTCGGAAATGTACTGGGAGCCAATGTAGGTCTTTCAGGACCAGTGTTATGTGGTCTCGGCGGCTGCTCCCAGTCCCCAGTCTAGCTGCTGCATTCTGGATTAATTGCAGTTTCTGGGTCACCTTCAAAGGTAGCCCCATGTAGAGCACACTGCAGTAGTCTAAGCCGGAGATAACCAGAGCATGCACCACTCTGGCGAGGCAGTCCATGGGCAGATAGGGTCTCAGCCTGTGTACCAGATGGAGCTGGTAAACAGCTGCCCTGGACACAGAATTGACCTGTGCCTCCATGGACAGCTGTGAGTCCAAAATGACTCCCAGGCTGCGCACCTGGTCCTTCAGGGGCACAGCTACCCCATTCAGGACCAGGGAGAGCTCCACAGTGCCCCAGAAAGAGTACTTCTGTCTTGTCAGGATTCAACCTCAATCTGTAAGCCACCATCCATTGTCCAACCGCCTCCAGACACTTGTGCTCAGATCCTGCTTGCACAGGCATCTGTTTGACCACTGAGAGAACAGGATGCTGGACTTGGTGGGCCATTGGCCTGATCCAGGAAAGCCTTCTGATAATTTTACCTGGAGACACCAGGTATCGAACCTGAGACTTCCTGTATCAAAGACAAGTGCTCTGTCACTGAGCTGCGGCCCATGCCCTGGGTTCCTTCAGGCTCCCTGCCTCCTTTCACCTTCCATTTCCCATTGTTTCTGCTTCAAGCGATGCTTTGCTACAGACGGACTAATGAGACGAAAGAGCATTCAAGTGCTTCTTCTCCTCCTGTCCGTCACACACACACACACACACACACACAAGCTCCCGGGCATCTTTCGGACACAGTTTGTTGCTAGCACATCATGCAAGCAGAACTAGGCGTATTGATTGCGATACACAGGACAGATAAAGGGAGGCTGACGAGAATAAGCCCGATAGTAGCACAATTGTACACAATGCTTGGGTGAACTAACGGGGCTGGGTAATAGCAATAGATGTCTGCCGTCCGCTAGCAGTGCACCAGGGGATTGTATCGTGTCAACATACACAACTTCACGCAGCCTTCTTCCAAAGCATTATTCCCAATTTCCCTTTCAGTTTGGTGTAGCCTGGTAATTAACAGTGGGCATTAATTAATGGGCAATCAGGGCAACAGATCAGCTTGGCACTTCCTTGGACATTTAGCTCCTGAGATGTTCAAACCCAGCAAGGAGGGAGGAAGCTGCAGAAACAGATTCCCCATCTGAGTGTACACTGGCTGGGAGTGAGATAAGTTGGAGAGATATGGACAGAGTTTGGACTCTTTTTATGTTCTCGTAACGCCATGTCGGTCTGCACACGAATCATGACACATGTAAATACAGATACCATGAGACTCCAGGGCTGTTTTCTTCAAAAAGGATGCTGCAGTACAGTCCTATCTGTTTTCTCCTGCTCTGGAGGGTAGGACTCGAACCCATGGCTTCATGTGACAAGGAGGGTGATTCTGACTAAACATCAGGAAAAACCCTCTGACAGTAAGAGCTGTTCGACAGTGGAACAGTCTCTCTTGGGAGGTGGTGGACTCTTCTTCCTTGGAGGTTTTTAAGCAGAGGTTTGACGGCCATCTGTCATGGATGCTTTAGCAGAGTTTCCTGCATTGCAGGGGATGGACTAGATGACCTCTGGAGTCCCTTCCAACTCTATGGTTCTACTCAGAAGTAAGTAGATGGCGCTCACTCCCTGGTAAGTGGGATTAAGTAATGCTGCAACCCTCTGCACACTCATGTATGAGAAAGTCCAACTGTTGTTAGGGACTGGGCAGAGGAGGAATGGTGGAGACCGCCTCCCCAGCTTGACCCTTCCAAGGAGAAGGAAGCACTGGGGGGGGGGGCAGCTGATGGACACAGTGTCTTTAGAAAGCATTCCAGACCCTCCATCTCTCAGAACCCGGCAAGCCTTGAAAGTAGGAGAGCAAAGAGCTCAAAGATAGAGGGCACTTAGAAGCACCCGTAGATTGACGAATGAGGAAGTGGGAGACATGGGGGTGTGTGGATATTCACTCAGGACAACACCATTATCCAAGAGGCTGGGTTCTATAGCCTCTCTCTGTAAATACTGAATATAAAGCAGACGATAAGAAACATTTCCTTGTCTTTGTATGTTCCTGGCAACCAGCCGGGAGTCGCTGGCAGCAGCCTGACAACTGTGGGATTTGCTTCATAGGAGATATACACTTTGACCCTTTAGAAGTCTGGCTAGGACTTCTTGCTATTCCCAGTCACCTTCCCCACAGTAAAGAACTGAGCCATATGCTTTCTTCAGCACCCTCTTCCTTTAACATCCATTCCTTGGGCACATGAGCCCTTCATGCTGAAGGAGGTGGTGGAATCCAGAAGTGCCCAAGTGAGTTGTGGGGAAGGACCACCACCCCCCATCCTGAGACAGTGTGGTGCTCCAACCCATCAGAATGAGCATCACTGGGCTCCACAGATAATGCGCTCTTATATGCCCCAGGCTGGGTTTTGGAGATATACCCTGCAGCACATGAGCTTTGCATCCCAAAAGAGATTACAACTAAACATTAGGAAGAAATTTCCGATGGTCAAGGCTGTTCAACAGTGGAATGATCAACCTTGGAAGGTGGTGGACTCTCCTTCCTTGGAGGTTCTTAAACAGAGCTTAGGTGGTCATCTGTCAGGGATTCTTGAGCTGCCATTCCTGCCCTGCAGCGGGTTGGACTAAATGACCTTTGGGGTCCCTTCCAACTCTACAGTCCTATGATTCTATGGTTAAACCCCTGGCACCTCATGGATCTCACACAGGAAGGCTAGGAAAGTCCTCCGGGTGAGAAGCTGGAGAGCTACAGTGAGCTGGATTGGACAGATCTGAGCTAGATGAGTCAATGGCTTGTCTCCATAAAAGGCAGTGTCCTGTACTGGTGGCTCTGTTCTTTAATATTTAAAGGTTGACACATGTCAAATGAGTGTTGGCTCTAAAAGGCACATACTCGTTCGCTCTTGAGCAGGCTGTTGTCAAGAGTGCTGCCAGGCGGCCTGCAGTTCAGTCTGTCTTCCTTGGATCTGCTTTCCGCATGCACAGTATCGCTTCAAGTCCCATTCTGGTTGCATTTTTTATCTTATTCTTAAAAAAACACCACAACACTACAAAACCTCCATCGTACTCAAAATGCATCGCTCAATTTTTATTTCTTTTGTCCAACCTTATGAAGTCCTAGGTACCTCCAACAGTGACATTTCAAAATTGCTCCGTGTCAGGGCCTGGGAAACGATGACACAAGGAAATGGCATGTTTTCTTTTTTTAAAAAAAATAATAAAATTGCAAAATTCAGATTGCCCGGAATAAGCAGAACGCTTCCTTCAATCACATTCAGGCCCTGGCGTAGCACGGAAAGTGTCGGCGCAGACAGAAAACATTTTGAAATGTTGTGATCGGATAAAGAACAGGCTCTTGCCATCTTAATTATAGCTTTTTATTATTTACAAACAGACTTGAGCCTTGGGCAGGAGGAGGAGGGAGGCTGTAGCTGGCAGGCGTTTGCTAACAGGCGAAGAGAAGCAGTTAGGGAGTTCATTAAAAAGGCTGGCTGCATTGTGAGCAGGAATAAAATAAGCACAGAGCCTGCATTCTCTCTCTCTCTCTCTCTCTCTTTCTCTCTCTCTCTCTCTCTCTCTCTCTCCAGGCATTGGAAAAGAAGACAATTTGGCTGACAATAATGCGATGAAATCTGCAACAGTGGTGAAGGCACAGCATTGTCTGTTAGCTACGAAAGACATTATTTTAAAACCAGAGGATGATTTGGTTCATAACTTTTCACTCTCTCCTTCCTTCCTTCCTTCCTTCCTTCCTTCCTTCCTTCCTTCCTTCCTTCCTTCCTTCTCCACCTGGTGGACAATTCTTCTGGCTGGCCTTTGCAACCTCCCTTTGCTTCAGAGAAACAATGGATGAAGCCTTTTAACAATCTTTTTGCAAAGGTGCATCTTGAGCTGATATTCCAGAGACAAGCCCGCCGGTGTGGGCAGCGCTCATTCCAAAGCAGCGTCTGCTTCCCCCACCCCAATAAAACTCACCCCAATTCTCCGCCATCCAAATATTGCAGCTATTCATCTCTTGCGGCACGCAATCTCTGGCTATAGGCTGACTAAAAGCACTTCCAGCCGCTTCAGACTCTGTTGTTGGATATTGCACAGGAAGAAATATTCCGGCGTGGAATTGAATAAAGAGCTGCTAATCAGTACATTAGTTTCCATTATCTCTCATCAACAATCAGGCAACTGATGCTCAGACTGCAGTGATAACAGAACAGCATCTATGGGAGCAGAAGAGCATTTGCAGCACATTTCAAGGGAAAAGGAGGAAGGAGTTATGTAGTGGATGGGGGACCTTCTCCAGTTCAAGGTCCACATTCCCTTCTCTGCAGCCTTCCAGGGGCCACACATCAGTGGTGGGTGGAGACAGAGGCAAGAGTGGGTGGAGCAATGGATATTATTATTATTATTATTATTATTATTATTATTATTATTATTTTCAGTTTATATACCGGCCTTCATATCAGGACTGGGTTCCGGCGTAAGTCAGCAATAAATCACACGGCGTCAGTGGAATTAACTCTTTATTCCAGTAAACAAGGTCTGCCTTGGTAGCTCAGTCAGTAGAGCACGAGACTCTTAATCTCAGAGTTGTGGGTTCGAGCCCCATGTTGGGCAAAAGATTCCTGCATTGCAGGGGGTTGGACTAGATGACCCTTGTGGTCCCTTCCAACTCTACCATTCTATGTTTCTATGATTCTATAATTCAGGAGGCTAGGCTTAGGGAGCACAGCAACTCTTCCTGGTAGATCTTGCCCCTACGAGGCAATTGTGGGAACTGAAGTTGCCAAGGTCTCCTCCTCTCCTGGGACTTTCCCAAGCAATCTGAGACTTTGTCATCCATGCACATTACTTGGCTGCAGAATTGCATTGCAAAACTGAGCGAAATGAAACTTTCAAACTTGATTCAGGTTTCAAAAAGTACAAATTTGGTAAGTTGCCCTTTAAATGTGAATGGAATCAAATTTCTCCCCCATCCCCTAGCCCCCCCATGAGCCAAAGTTCCTCCAGTCCCAAGTAATGCTTACAAAAGTGCAAAAAAGTAGGGTAAAGTGTTGGATGAAAGTATAGAAAAATGGAAACAACATGGAAATACAGTGGTGCCCCGCAAGACGAACGCCTCGCAAGACGGAAAACCCGCTAGACGAAAGGGTTTTCCGTTTTGGAGGCGCTTCGCAAAACGAATTTCCCTATGGGCTTGCTTCGCAAGACGAAGCCCATAGGGAAATCTCCGAGGACCTCTTTTAAATGCTAGCGGTGGGAGCAAAGCCTTCCCCCCTCCGGCCTTCAGAAGAGGTCCAGGAAGGCTGGCGGGGGCCGAAAGGCTTTGCTCCCCACCGCCAGCATTTTAAAAGCAGTCCGGGATAGCAGGGAAGCGCTTCCCGCTATCCCGGACGGCTGTTGAAGGCAGGAGAGGTCCGCGAAGCCGGGGCGCGCGGATCTCAGCGCGCGCAGGCCTCGGCATGCCGGCAACTCTCCGCAAGCAGCGGCAGCGCTGCCGCTGCTCGCGGAGAGGTCCGCGAAGCCTGGGCGCGCTGATCTCAGCGCGCGCAGGCTCCGGCATGCCGGCAACTCTCCGCAAGCAGCGGCAGCGCTGCCGCTGCTCGCGGAGAGGTCCGCGAAGCCTGGGCGCGCTGATCTCAGCGCGCGCAGGCCCGGCATGCCGGCAGCTCTCCGCAAGCAGCGGCAGCGCTGCCGCTGCTCGCGGAGAGGTCCGCGAAGCCTGGGCGCGCTGATCTCAGCGCGCGCAGGCTCCGGCATGCCGGCACCGCACCGCAACCCGCGGCAGCGCTGCCGCTGCTCGCGGAGAGGTCCGCGAAGCCTGGGCGCGCTGATCTCAGCGCGCGCAGGCTCGGCATGCCGGCAACTCTCCGCAAGCAGCGGCAGCGCTGCCGCTGCTCGCGGAGAGGTCCGCGAAGCCTGGGCGCGCTGATCTCAGCGCGCGCAGGCCTCGGCATGCCGGCAACTCACCGCACGCCGCGGCAGTGCTGCCGCTGCTTGCGGAGATGTCCGCGAAGCCTTGGCTGGACAGCTTTTGAAGGCAGGTGGGGGGGACAAAGACTTTCGCCCCCGCCAGCCTTCAGAAGAGGTCCAGGACCTCTTCTGAAGGCTGGCGGGGGCAAAGTCTTTGTCCCCCTGCCTGCCTTCCCAGGGACTTTAAATTGCCCGGACAGCGGAGAAGTCCTCCGCTGTCCCGGGGCAATTTTAAAATGCCGCCCGCCAGCATTTTAAGATCGCCCCGGACAGCGGAGAAGCCCTCCGCTGTCCGGGGTTTTAAAATGCTGGGGTGGAGTGGGAAGAAAAGCCCTTGTCCCCCAGCCTTCAGAAGAGGTCGGGGGACAGACTGTCCCGGACCTGGTCTGAAGTCGGTTTCCCTAGGAACGCATTAATTGATTTTCAATGCATTCCTATGGGAAACCGTGCATCGCAAGACGAAAAACTCGCAAGAAGAAAAAACTTGCGGAACGAATTAATTTCGTCTTGCGAGGCACCACTGTAATGGAAATTGCTTTGCAAAAAGGCATACAAAATTGTGCACATTATGAGAAATTCTCACTGATGTGGAAATGTGTTGAATGGATTGGAAAAGTGAGAAATCTGATGTTGACAGATCTGCCCAGCCCTTTGTGGAATGCAGTGTACCTATCAGAACATCTGCACATGCTCTTGAGCCATGAGCACGAATAACCTTTAAAAAGAAAGAAAGAAATGTATTTTCAGAAGCGGAACGTCTGCACACACAGACTAGCAGAAGATCAAAAAGCTTTTCTTCATTTCAGCTTCAGTTTAGACATTTAGAAGGATGAATACCATCCCCTTCCAAGTCCACCAGCTTTGCAATATGTTCCCCACTTCCTCGCCCCTGGAAAGCCCAACTGCAATAACACTTCTCTTTCTGATTATGAATTCTGTTTTGGCGGGAGCTTTGAAGAGATTCCACCGAAGGGTGTGAGCTTTCAAACAGAGACATTCAAGATCCATGGATGACTAGGAGAGCTTGCAATTTCCACCGTGATTAGCTTCGCTGAGACCAGCAGAAACTATGTTGTTTTCTTAGGCAGGGTTAAAAAAAAAAAGACTGTAAATTTATTATTCCTCTTGTTCAGATGGCCTTTCCCCACCAAGGAGTCATTCTTGTTGATTCAGACACGGGTGACTCAGAGGCAGCAGGGCCCACCTTGGATGCTGCCTGCTCTCTTTCCTCTTCCACCTCCTCCTCCTCTCCAGGAAAATGGTTCACAGTTATGAATGGTAATACAATAAACTCATGCATGGCTCTCGTGGGAAAATGCTGGGGATGAAAATGGCTGCCCTACGGAGCGGTCAGTTTAAACAATACAGATTGGGAAATAATGGCCTAGCATGAGCTGCAGGGCAGGAATGGGATGGATTAATTACTGAATAGGGAACGGATTGCTCCAGGAGCTCAGCTAGGGAGCTGTGAGCACTGTGGACAGCCTCTTTGTACTCTGCTTAGAATGGACCAATGGCAGCAGGCATCTAGGGGGCATTCGCCTGGGTGTGGTGCCAACTGACCAGTAGCAGCGCTTGGCACCATGCCCAGGGGAACGATAAATACACGACTGGCACAACCTTTCAGTCTCTTGCCATGCCAATATGCTGTGTGTTGTCTAGTTATTTACACCTTAAGGAATAGAAACTTGCCTCGCTACACAAGCGGAGGGTGCTGAATTTTTGCCTCACACAGGGCACCCCTGAAATTTGGGGCACCCTTTTGTGGTTGATCTCAGGTGCCAGAATGTCTTAGGCTGGCTCTGGAAACAGGGGCACCAACTATAGGGGGCTCTGGGTGCCTGAGCACCAGTGCTTTTTCAGGGGGTATTCAGTACCGACACCCCTTGTTTTGGTTGTTAAAATGTGTGGCACTTACTGTAACAACTTCATAAGGAGTACTGTCACTTTTTTTTTTCTAGGAAAAAATCACTGCCAAGCACCCACAATTTTTTTGTTGTGAGTGCTCAGCACCCACACTGCAAGGACCCCCATGCAACTTCTGAGGTCTTGCAAGGCCTTGGACAGGATATCCGAGGCCTCGTGAGGCCTTACAGATGCTTGTGAGACCTCGGAATCTGACTTCTGGTGGCACCAGAAGTTAGGTTCCAAGGCTGGGGCACTGAGGCCAACATCACGAGCACTGGGCACCCATAACCTGGGGCTCAAGTCGGCTCTCCTGCCTAGGAACCACCCTATTGGTCCAGTATACCTGAAGGAGTTTCTCCACCCTCATCGTTCTACCCGGACACTGAGGTCCAGCACCGAGGGCCTTCTGGCGGTTCCCTCACTGCGAGAAGCCAAGTTACAGGGAACCAGGCAGAGGGCCTTCTCGGTAGTGGCGCCTTCCCTGTGGAACACCCTCCCACCAGATGTCAAAGAGAACAACAACTACCAGGCTTTTAGAAGACATCTGAAGGCAGCCCTGTTTCGGGAAGCTTTTAATGTTTGATGTATTATAGTATTTTAATATTCTTTTGGAAGCCGCCCAGAGTGGCCGGGGAAGCCCAGCCAGATGGGCGGGGTATAAATAATAAATTATTATTATTATTATTATTACTATGCACAGGAAGTTCGTATAGTAAAGCAAGCTAGAGTAAGTTAAATCATCATAAAGCCATGCCAGATCCAAACCATGTTCAGGAATGGGGCTGCGACTGGCAGAGGAAAAGCAAGCATTTAAAACAATGTTCTCTTCGGGGTTGCCATGTCAGATAGGCTTAGGATTCAGCCTTTCTGGTCCCAAAGTGCTCCCAGAACACCTCTTTTGAGAAGCTTAAAGCTGACTCTGCTCAGAAGGCTGAGCTCTGGCTAAGCAAGTTACACTTGTGTGTATCTTCAGCTGAGCCAGGGCTGGAGACTTAATGCCAGCAAAGCCAGAGAACTGCTGCTTCTTAACCTGGCAGATCTTGTCCTTTGAGTGTCCTGAATAAAGCAACAGGTTCCCAAACTGTGTTCATGGAACGCAAAGAGAAAAGGTCTCCAAGTGCCCTTTTTGCTATTGTTTCTGTAGACGCGCACCAGATATTGTGGGAAACAGAAGAAAGCTGGTCAGGTTTTTGATGGTGAGCAACCACAAGTCAGTCACTCCTCTGTATGGGGAACAAGGTATCCTGGGATGAGAGCAGACATGCCAACGAACCACGAGGGGAGTTTCATAGATGAATCTGCATGATTCCCCACCCATTTGGGCAGGACATGGAGGCAACTGGAGCAGATGTTCGGGTGCATGAGGGCAATACATGTCAGGATGACGCAACATGAAGCCACTTGCTGAAACATGGTGATTCTAAAGGTGGGTTCCATTGGGGAGGAATGGGCTGGGCATCGTAGAAGCTAGGAGAGTGAATGGGAAGCAGTTTTAGGGGCTCCAATTCCACCCGAAAGCTATTCGCTGAGAACTTTCAGCTCAGCACTAATTTATTTCTAAATTTCCTCTTTCCCCTCCTCTTCTCCCTGGTGTTCTGGTCAGGAATCTTGTCAGACAGCTGGTGTTATGCTAACTTAAATAGTTTACTAAAAAGGAAACGGAAACCATCTCACTCCAGATCAGGCATAAATTGTATGAACATACAGTGAACTTCCAGAGAGAAAAATCTCTGGAAGACATTAGGTTAGATCAGGCTGGAACCTACAGGAGAGCGTTTATGTCGGGATCATGTTGACGTAAGTGGTGTTAATTTAAGCTGCAGAGGCCACACTTTATTTTAGGAGAGTTGCAAAGAAGAGGATCAAGGCTGAAGCAGGTGGAAAGGTCTCCCAAATTTGCTGGCTAGAAATGGTGTGGAGCTGAGAGTGGCTTCCCTTTAAGTCTTGTGGCACCTTAAAGGTTAACAAAATTTTATTATGGCATAAGCTTTGGGGCACCAGAGTCTCCTTCATCAGATGCCACCATCCTATGCTTATTCAAACCCATTTTGTGCGCATTCACCACCAAATTATAATAGATCAGCATTTGCCACGCTGGTGCTCTCCAGATATTTTGGACTACAGTTCCCATCAGCCCTCAGCAGCAGAGCCGGCTGGCGATGGTGGGAGTTGTAGTCAGAAACATCTGGAAAATGCCAGCTTGGTAAAGGCTGTAGTACATGTATGGCCACTTAGCTTTATAAGGTTGTACCAGCCACAACAGAAGTAAGCATATGACTTTCATTTATTCTGATCTGTTAATTCTCTTATTTGGCTACACGCCCATCCCACCATTGATGGATAACTCAGTAAATGGCAGGCACTCAACCTGTATAATGATTATGTGCACTCTGTGTGTTTGTGAGAGGTGGAATGCGCCTAACCACATTATAATGCAAGAGCCTAGATGTGGCGAACATGTGATTATCCGGCAGTGCTGACTGCCGCTGACTCACCCAGTCTAACCCTTGTTCGGAAATTCCCCGACAAGACAGGTTGTGTCAACAGACTCCATATGTGCACGATCTGATCATAAAGGTCTATGGCACCTAGTCTTCTCGGGTTCCTGCACTTTTCTGGACCTCTGCAGAGGAGGATGGCTGGGCCCACCTGTATCCAGAACCATCAGTTGTGTCAGGACCAGCAGGTTTCTTACTCTTGTCACTCCATCCTTAGAGGAGTTAAAAGAGAAGGAACGAATGCTGCTGCTGACCTAAGTTGACCTATCCTCCAGAATGTTTGCTGCCAAGAACATAAGAAGATCAGGTCTGGATCTGGTCAAAGGCCTATCTAGTCAAGCATCCTGGTCCCACAA